GCTAGCCACGATATAAGGGCTACAATTAAAAATAAAATAATAAAAACTTACTTTGTGAAATAAAATATGTGGTGGATGTACTGGTGTGAAATGTTCAACGCGGACAGGTAAACACATACACGTTTTACCAATTAAACGAGTTTAATTTCGCGCTGAATTTGAAATATATATACAGAATAGGTTCGGATTCCCGCTGTTCTCCTTCAAACGGTTCCACAATCTTGAGTGACCAGGTATATCAATAGACCGGTAGTTAATTTCTCGATAACTACCTCCCGACAATTTATTTGCACGCGTAAACCTTAACCTAACTTAAACTAAAAATAGAAAAAGTAGAAGGGGAAATGAGAAGAATTAAAGGACAGAAGGGTACCCAATTTTCCAGTTGGTTCACCGTTCCTCGTCTCGGCTTCTCTCAGTGCTGTGCGATGTCTATAATTTTAACATCGATGTTTGCCTAAGCATCGATGCTAAATTTCGATGTCGGATTTCACATCGATGTTCATTCAAGATAAACTCAAACAATTTAAAAAAAAAAAAAACAAAACCGGGTTTGTTCGAACAGAAGTTCCTGACGCATGCGCAATGTCATTTTAAAATGCGAAGAATAACGTATATGCCGGTTATAAATCAGTTACAGTTAGGGATTAGGGACTTGCGTAGGAGTAACGTAAGTGACCTAAATTAAGAAAGAACAGGTACAGATAACTTAGCTCTATTTGATACGTGTACGATCGTACATGCAAAAAAAAAGTCGACAGGGTTTTTTTTTTACTATTTCCGCCCTTTGGGCACTAAGAGGGCCTTTTATAGCAGGCCCATTATGGGTTCGGCCAGGCCCACAATGGGGCGACCGGGTGGTGAGGGACGGGGCCCGACATATCCGAACGAACCACCCCCCGAAAAATTCCTGGGGATTCCTTGATCCGTCCGGATTCGATCCCGGGTCCCCCAGAGCGGTAGGCTGCCACCTTGACCGGTGGCCATCCGGCCTCAAAGTCGACAGGTTGCGCGCTACAAGTCAGCGTAAACAGACTAACATGGCCGAGTTGCGGATGAGTTTTAATGAGTGTGAGTTCATTCACTCTTAAAATAGTGTAAATTTGTAAACATATTTGCAAGAACTTTGTTTCATCGCAATTTCACAATTTCTACGAAATTCCGGACTGTCCGGGTGAAAACCGAACAGGTGGTAACACTAGGAACAAAGAATGTACTGCATGCATCGATGAATCAAAATTCACATATTGCTAACATCGATTCAGGATCGATGTTTCAAAAACATCGGAAGGTCGATGCATCGACGAACAAAAACATCGATGTGTCGATGTCACATCGATGCATTGCACAGCACTAGCCAGAGCCGGCCCTACCATAAGGCGAAAGGAGCAGCCGCTCCAGGCGCTAAGTCCTAGGGGGCGCCTCAGTGGTAAAGAAAATTAAAGGGTATAAATTTGGGGCAACCAAGGGCAGTGGCGTAGCGAGGGGGTGCAAGGGGGTGTATCAAGCACCGGGCGCCACTCGCAGAGGGGCGCCCAAATGGTCTCCAAGACAGATTATATGTGTTTCTGGAGGAGGCGCCAATAAAGTGTCGTGCCCCGAGCGCCAGTTATGTTCGCTACGCTACTGACCAAGGGGGCGCCATAATAGGATCTCGCTCCATCCTAAAACTTGCCTCGGGCCGGCACTGC